TAAGAGAACGTGACAGACACAAGAGAAAGGAATGATGGTAGAGGAAAAAAGCAGCTACATGTATAATCTTATCCATGTCCAAGCGACATTTTAACAGCATAAAGTAACGCATTATAGGGCCTCTGTACTTAAAATCCCGACTCTCTTGATCAATACAGGAACTTCCACGTGTGGAATGAGGCCTGGTTCCGTCGCCCTGACCTCCCCGACGGTTACGACGGTTGGCAAGCAATAGACCCCACACCCATGGAGTGTTCTGAAGGTAGGTGGCAACATGGTATTGACGGAGTGTGTGGTACGATGATGTACCATGGGGATTAAGAGCAAAGATCAGCTGTTTTTGCACAAACGATTTGAGTAACACTCTCTCCTCAATTTGGCATCGTGCTATGGTGTGGGTGAACACGGTTTGAATCTTTTGACGAAGCGTTCTTCAACATGTGTTATGTTGGGAGGTTTTTAATCTCTTCATCAAATTGCTTCTGTCTTATTGGAGATGACCGTCAAAATTCGGAGCACACAAAGTTTCACTGCGGACTTAATATTATATCATGTGGGCGTGAAACTTTTACCACAAAAAGACCGTAAGTTTAACGCAAGAAATGTTAAGATTGCTTCTTGATGTCATAAGTAAGATATAGGGTCTAGATATTTTCCCTGATTTACGTCATGTAACCTACTTTTCGTCCCAGGTGTTCTAACATGTGGCCCGGCCCCTGTCACAGCCGTACTGAAGGGCGATCTTTTTCTGGGCTTCGACACCAAGTATTTCTTCGCGGAGCTGCATGGCGGCCGAGTCCACTGGCAGGTGGATACTGACGGCAACATGGAGGCCTTCATGGGAGGGCGTGACGTAGGCGCCGCGCTCAGCACTAAGTCAGTGGGCACCATCTCCCGCCAAGACCTCACTTCCAGCTACAAGTATGAGGCCGGTGAGTGCGGTCTGTGTAATGTTTTACTGCTTACTTACTGCTTTCTGATCCCATAATCTACGAAGATTGTAGGGGCGCTGTGTTTTAGAGAGCCTCCTCATATGACTACACTTTTCTCTTTTTTTTTTTTGCGAGCGAATGTGTTTGCGCGAAGGATTTCCCTGTCCATTCCGCAATGTTTTAGGTCCACCTCTTTCTTCGCCTTCACAGTTCCCTAGAGAATGGTCTTGGATAGGCCACAGGATCTTGTTACTTGACCATACCTATCCTTTTTTCTTTGCTTCACAGTAGACAGAAATGGGTTTTTTTTTTCCAGATTAAATCACTTTACTAGACATAAACGGGACATTTTTAGGGGTGATCACTTGGCCCAACAGCAAAATGAATTACGTAAGTGGAAAAATAAGGCAGGGATGATACACTAACGTATTTATCACATGTCTACGTATGATATATAGGTGTTCATTCAGGCTACTCCACCAACAAAAACGTTGAGTCTTAGAGCTCATGAATGATTGGGGAAAGGGAGGGGGGTGATAACGGTTTTGTAGACCTACGTATTCCGATCAGTCATATCAGACTGATTTCCTGTGGTTCCAAAATGATGATCGGTCTTGTATCCCCAGGTACCAAAGAACTTGAGGCTGTTCGAGAAAAGGCTGCTAAGATGTGCAACAGAAAGACGCCCACCCTTGTGAAGGGCAGCAAGACAGACGTTGACTTCCGCCTAGAGGGCGGAGTTGAGAGGTCCGGTGACCTCCAGGTGACCCTGCACATGCGCAACGTTGGTACCGAGGGTCGTGTCATTGACGTGTATATGGGGGTGCTGTCAACGTTCTACACTGGAGTCACTGCGGTAGAGCTGAAGAAGCTTATTACGTCAGCAGTAGTGGAGGCTCAGACAGGTATGTGTACGCCCATTTGATCGTAAATATTTTACGTTTCCATCGACACAATTTCGATCCTTTAAGAGGTCGACTGCTTTGAATCTGCATGCCAGATCCAAACGAGCTTGTGTGGGATACTATATCCCTGGAAGAAAGACAGAGATTTCGATAAAGCATGCAACCTTTCTGTCATATCACCATCAATACGAGCTTTTCAATCATCGCTATCTATGCGAGAATGGCATAAGTTTGTAGATCCGTCCAAAGTGTGCATGTATGTGTATATGTATGTATGTGTGGGGAGACTAGGGGATGAGTTGAAGTGCGCCTATATGTGGGTATGCATTTACCATGCTACAGCAAGTTTCTCTTATCTTATCTTATCTTATCTTACCTTATCGAAACTCGTGTATTTTGTATGCACAGCGTATGCACAGCGATTATCCCAACCATTATACAATAAACACTGGTGCGTTTACTTGGTTCCTTGAGTTCATGTATAATGTGAACTTGAAAAAATGCATTTTGGGAGCACGTTCCAGTTTTAACCGTGTTATTCACAATACTTGCTTTCTCCTCTCTCTTTCTCTTTCTTTCCTTCTTTCTCCCCTCTCTCCCTCCCTCCCTTCCTCCCTCTCCCTCTCTCTCTCTCTCTCTCTCTCTCTCTCTCTCTCTCTCTCTCTCTCTCTCTCTCTCTCTCTATCTCTTTCTCTCTCTCTTTCTCTTTCTCTTTCTGTCTCTCTTTCTCTCTCTTTCTCTTTCTGTCTCTCTTTCTTTCTCTTTCTGTCTCTCTTTCTTTCTCTTTCTCTTTCTTTCTCTTTCTGTCTCTCTTTCTTTCTCTTTCTGTCTCTCTTTCTTTCTCTTTCTGTCTCTCTTTTTCTTCTTTTATCCCCCTTCTCTCTTTATTTCTTTCTCTCTCCTCTCTCTTCTCTTGTTTTCCTCCTGTTTCTTCTTTCTCTCCTCTCTCAGTCGACATTTTCCCTAGAATACATAGCTATAGTCTACTCATCTCCAACAGATGCCACCTCTGTGATTGACCTGAAATGTTCGGAGTACATTGAACAGAAGGAGACGGACAGTAACCTGACATCTTACGTCATGGCCAAGGTCAGAGAGACTGGTCAACGCTTCGCCACTGTTCAGAGCCACTGTATCGACAGGCCACATCTGGACATCAAGGTCATTGTTTGATCCTGTTTACTGAATTTTAAAACCGCTACTAGGTCTGTTTTTTTGTCTGCCTGTCCCTCTCTCTTTCTCTCTCTCTCTCTCTCTCTCTCTCTCTCTCTCTCTCTCTCTCTCTTTGTCTCTCTCTGTCTCTCTCATTCTCTCTCTCTGTCTCTCTCTCTCTCTCTCTCTCACACACACACACACACACACACACACACACACACACACACACACACACTCATGCACGCACGTACACACTGTGTATTAAAGTCAGAATGTGTGTATGTGTATGTGTATAATATGGTTGTACGTATGTGTATAATATGGTTGTACGTATGTGTATAATATGGTTGTACGCTCTCGTATGCCTTTTTCTGCGGAATGCTCTCACTCGTTTGTTAGCCAAAAAATGACAAACAGACAGACAGTCAGACAGATAAACCCTTAAGTCTAGAGTTTAGGTTAGTCAAATGGTATAACTTATTACGTTGTGTTCTCAGACTGAGGGCCGGGCAGTCCAGGGTCAAAACTTTCAAGTTGTGGTCAAGATCTCCAACACTCTGTCTGTTCCACTGACTGGCGGGGTCCTAGCTGTGGACGGACCTGGACTATCGCGTACCACTGGCATTAAACTGAGGTTCGTCATCATCATCATCAGTATCATACCATCATCATTATCATCATTTTTTTACAGTAGAAAAAATATACTTGTGACTTGGATAGGGTTGGTCATATTATTATTATTATCTCATCATGTTAAAGACGCTATCACTTTTTTCTTTGGTTTATTAGATACAATGTTCGTTTTTACAGACTCCTTTTTTTTATCTTCTTTTAGAAAGGGGGTCGTTTATGGATCGAAGGAGGGGTGTCTTTTTGGGTGTTTCCTTGTTATTGTTATTTTGTTGTGCCTGTTGTTCTAATCTGTTAAAAGTGTTTAGTTGCTTCCGGGTAAAGTTAATATTGTTTATTTTAGTTGTTTTGGTATTTTAACTGGAAAGGACCCTGATATACGAGTACTGCACATAGACGTCATTTTAGCCTGGTTATGTAAATCTTGTATAGTTTGGCGTTTCACATCAAAGAGACCAGTGGGGTTGTTATCGGTATCCATTCTGACCTTGTTAATATGACGTCATTGATCTCCAACAGAAAAAGACTGCCTTTTGGCCCTATACGATATGAGTGTATAAGATAGCTTTGGGTTTTACATAAGTTACATTCTTTAATTTTGGAGCTAATGTCAGTTCTGACTCGGCTTCTGATTTTTTTTTTAATGTAAGTGTTTTACGCCCCCATCGACACAATTTAGAACTAGAACAATTACGAGGCGGACTCCGACCCCGTCTGTAGGGGCCGTCCCAGGCTGAGAGGGATACAACGTCCAAGCGGAAACATCGAGCTACTCAATAAAAAAAAATATGTCTCCCCACTCGGGCGTCGAACTCGGGTCTTCTTCTTGTCTGTTTTAGTTTAATTTAGCAACTGCATAAGGTCATATGAGCGCCAAAGGGTGGATGTCAACAGAGAAGTCCAACTCGTGCGACGGTGAAGAAACTATCCGCTACACCACAGATGCCAATTTGGCCAATCTGACATCATTCTACGTTTACAGAATGCACAGAAAAACCTAATTTCAGGCATAATTTCTTAAGCGAGGTCCAGTCTGCCTTTTGTGTTAGTCAGCAATTATCAAGCTGTCGCTTAATTCTTCAGTCTTGATATTGTGACGCCATCTTCTTTTGACAGAAAACCTCATTGATAATATGACATTATCTTTTTTTTCACAGAAAACCGCAGATTGAGCCTGGCGAGGAAATCAGAGAGACGGTGACGCTGACAGCCCGGAGACCCGGCGTGAAGGAGATCATTGCGGTGTTCTACAGCAGGCAGATCTGCAACGTCACAGCGGTAGCGGAAGTTGACGTAGTCAAGGATGAGAAGAGTTTATAGGATTTTCACATTGCTGCGCAAGCGAACTGCAGACGATCATGTTATTTTTACCTTATAATTCGAGAGAAAAAGATGCAAGGATGTGGTATTTTGACTGACTGTAAATATTTTACTCCCAAATAGACAAAATATTAATAAATTAGGACGAGGACTGCTGGGCCGGTGTCTATCGTGGCCAACCCGCGTTTAGTGGATTTCTACATCCCTGCATTTGTTTTAAATGGGCATTTTTACTAGACTTTTTAAAAACCTTCCACTCGCGGGAATCATACTTGTGTATTATAGGCTAAATGCAGAACCCAGAGCCTAACCCTGTCACCTCAGACGTCGGTACACAGTGTTGGAGTAACCGAAATATTTTGTGAAAAGAAAAGGAATGATTGCACGTTACGTACGTGGGTGGGTGAGCGGGGGGGGGGGTATGAGAGAGAAAGTGGAAAGTCACTCGTATTCCATCTCTTTAGGCCTTAAACCATAATAAAACAAGTGATATCTTGCCTTTTTTTGTCGGCAACATATCTCTTTGATCATAAAGACATAAGTAACTATGGTAGTTATCAAATGCCCTGTGGTATAGTAATGTGGTCCAAAGGAAGGGTAAAGTCAGCTTTGAGTCAATCTCTACGTTGACTTTGACTTTAGAGTTTCCTTATTAAGATATGAGAATTACTTGGGCGCACAGGCCTTTACTCATGATAAACTAATACCATGACTCGGGCCTGTTCAGACCGCATTCACTTCTGGTTGTGACTTGATGCTTTTCTAAATGTCCTAAACACGGGCAGATTGAGAACATTCTTGCAACGTCCAAGAGAGAGAAAAAAGTTTCAAAAGTTCAAGGCCCAATAAATGCAAAACCTGGGGTGGGGGGGGGGGACTTAAAAACAAAGGGAGATTCCTATTTACAGAGAAAGTGAAAAGAATGAGCGTACTCATCTAATACTCCATCCACTGCAATCCTGTTATCTCATCGTACTATTTAATTTCCAGCTTGCATTTATCTGTCATAATCATTACTATATTACAACTTGGTCGAAGAACAAATAAATACAATAGGCTTTCGCGTAAATTTTGTGAAGCGGCCAGTTAGTGTGGAGAATTGATCCATTACTTCGCGCAAGATTTTTGGGTACTAGCTATTTATAATTCCTCCAGAATACATCAGACATCTTTCTGCGTAGCAGGAAAAGTAGGCCTATATTATTTTAATGTATGTTGTATATTATATATATACCAACTTCAGCATTCAAAACTGGAGTACAATAAATATTCTAGTTCGTCCCATGATAGGAAACTGGGGTGAGGAGAATGATAACCTCTTGACAATACTATAATTTTTTCACCCCCATTGACACAGTTTACATATAGGAGGCGGGCTGCTCAAATCCTGCCTGCCTAGGACAAATCAGGTTTAGGAGAATACAGCATCCCAACAGAAACATGAAGGTACATTCTGGCACTCAATAAAAAGACTGCCCCACTCAGGAATCAAACTCATGCTTTCCACATGAGACGGCGAAGACCCAAACACATCAGGGTAAAAAAAAGTAATAAGACAGGAAAGAAGATTTAAATGATACTGTAGGCTAAAATAAATATCGCACAGATGTATATGAGAGTTGTTCTACGTTTAAAGGGGTCTAACCTAAGGGTCTGTTGTTTCCCCCAAAACCATAAGAAGGTTTTAACCTTTAAGGCCTTTCCAGACACAGACCATTGCCAAAAGCATGCATGAGCCCAAGTTTGATGCAAATTCCTCCGATATTCCAATTGCTTATCAGAAACAAACAACTAAAACACATCTGATTTCGGTAAGAGTTTTACGGAGCACGCGAATGCATAAGGTCATAAGAGCCCATACATAATAAAATGTACCGGAGTGGCCTCAACCCAAATTTTTATCAAATCAACATACTGGAAACAAAATTTCACATTTTCCTTTCATGGTATTTCTGCCTTGCTTCTTTCGATTGTTTATAAATAATGTTACAACCATGTTACCCAGTGCACCCATGGAGCAAAACCAAAATGTATTACATTATTGGCGTATAGACATACCAGTGCTGTGTGCTAGTTTTCATCATTTTTAGCACATGCCCGATCCCATTTACTTTAATATTCAAACACATAAGATCCAATAATGGAGGCCGAATCTCCACAAGCAGAGCAAACAAGTATATAATATGTAATACATAAAATATGAATATATATGTAAGACTGCATAGTGAGCAATGTGCATGCATTTGTTAAAATGTTTAATGTATCTTTTTATTAGTGTTAGTAAGAGTTTTACGGCACTTGCAACACAATAATGTCATATAAGTGCCGAAGATTAGAGGAGTTACAAGAGAGTAATAAACACAAAAAAGAAGGAGAGATAAGGACGATAGATGTTTGATAGTAAAGAAAGAACAAACCACACCAGAGCACCCGCCAACCACCGACAATGTATCTTTGAAGCAGATTTACAATCTACATTAGAATGTGAACTGTTAACATAACTTCCCAAAGCACAACATCCCAAACATGTGTATCTGGCCACAGCTGAACAAAGAGGGATTCTACTTATACAGATAGTTTACCGATTGTAAAGGTGTTGAGCAATACATAAAATTTGAAATGAAATATATTTTACCCCACTGTCCTGCAGCCCCTGTCCTTTTCTGCATTATTTTATTTATGGTATTCACTATGAATAAGCAATAAATCGTTGTTCAAATGCATGTTTTGTGGACGCAGTGTTTCGTACAGTATAAAACAGCCATAAATGGGACAAAATCAAGCATGCATTGTATACATCCTTCTCCACTGACCTTTCTGTATGCCTTGGGCTCATATATGAAAAAAATGGTGCTTAGAGTCTCAAATGGTGGCATTTACATGTTATATTTTCAGCATGCATACCTCTGTAGAGAGCAGTTTTAAAGGTAATGTGTCGAATAAAAGGCTGTTTAGCTTCAATAAAAATCTTTAACCATCCACGATTATCTGTCCAGGCCTGTTTTGTGTTTCTGCAGAATAGTAGGCTACTATTTTAGAGCTGGTACCAAAAGAAACTGGACTACTTTGGGCGCGTCAAATGCCAAGATTTACTCGAGAAACGTGTTTGCTCTGGAAGCAAAGGTAGAAGGCAAGAGAGGAAAGGGGGAGACCTAACAATAGATAGGAACAGACATAGAATAAACCTAGTTTGGAACCAAAACAACTCAGGCAAGCAGAACGGCTAGAGACAGAGTGTTTTATAGCAGACAGGTCTGAGGAGCAACGTCCAACTTTTGGAAAAGCCAAGAAGAAGAAGAAAGCCAGAGGAAAACTTCTCTCGGTGTAGCAATATAGTTAGCTACCTTTCGAGGAACAAATGGCAAGGAATCAACACAATAAACCAGACACTCATCGTAATCACATGTTTTATTCACCAACAAGAGTCCAAAAATCCTGAGTAAAGTCATACGAAATAAAAAGAAATAGTGTTAAGGGTACTCAACTTTCAGGGCTGAGAGTACATAATAACCATTACATTTGTCATCAACCCAGCTTCAACAAACATCTTCGGTAAAGTACGTCAATCACTGACAATAGTTTATTAGTACAAAAGATGCAAACACTGTAAGTATAATTTCAGAAGCAGCAAGGATCTGGTCATTTTGAATAATCACAATTGAGGCATCTGGAAATTGACAAAGTCACAAGCAACACCTGAGAAAGATGCGAGACAAAAGAGCTTTAGTTGTTACTCTCGTGCCAAAAAAGAATAAGTAGTTTGCAAAATGCCTGTTTTTGTACGGACTGACACACCTGCAAAGAAGACAGGAGAAAAGACTTGGTAGTTGCTTTGCTCCAAAGAGTATCTCTCAGTCTTGAAACACAAAACCTTCAGGTTAACTGAGAAATTCAGAAAGAAACAGTGGAGCAACGCTTTTGGTCTCTTTTCTTAGATTTCCTTTTTGCCCCCCCGCCACGAATACACACATGTATGTCATATTTCATGCTGATGCAACATATTTCTCTAATTCAGCACTTCAAAAATGCTGCCTTATTTCAATTATACTCAAAGGAAATTATAAATAACTTTCATCAGATACAATAAACAAAAGATCCATGCAAGCTTCAAATTTTCACACAGAAAATTCCAGAGAGAAATGGCAGTTAATGCTGAGGACAAATAAAAGCCTGAGTTTCACAACAAAAGAAATGGAGCAATAACTATGATTCCAAGGATGTTACTGAACATTCTAACAAAGCCTTCATTAACTATATATATATATATATATATATATATATATATATAATATATATATATGCCCTCCTACAGACTTCAACGTAAGTTAAGGACCACTTACAAACACTCTGTGGTCTTCTTGGGTCGACCTGCATGTGAGCGTTCTTGGACTGATCCAGTGGCGTGATGGCACTGCCTCAGGCGGACAATGACAGAGTGTGACACTGCAAGCCTTCTGGCAACTTCTCCGGGTCCAACTCCATCCTGCAGCCATACTATAACTCTGGCACGATCAAAGTCTCTCAGCTTTCGTCTTGGTGGCACATTGATGCGATACTGGATTTTGCACAATCGGCAGCTTATATTGCCACCAAAGTGAGCACAGTTCGAGTCTGTGCGTCCGTTTATGACGGGCACCAGAAATTTTAACAGAGGAATGTCTGTGGTGTCGCACACAAGTCGATAAAAACAGCAAATTTGGCTAAAAATTCCCCGAGGATTTCCGTGCAGCATGTGGTGGTTTTCCCCTTTAGGAAGCTTTGCAGTAAGCATTGGTAACCCATTTACACTTTCAGAGCAAAACATTTTGGAACATTCCTTGCAGTCTTTTTTTTTGGATTTAAAAAAAATCAGGGCTGTCTGTCAAGGTGGTCCTTAATTTATGTTGAAGTCTGTAATATTCTTGATTGTCTGGAGATGTACTGTTATAAATCCACAACACAAGCATCATAATCATTGTGAATGAAATCATGTTCTCTTCAAAATAATAAAAACAAAGAACCCAACATTTTTCTGCCAGTGGGGTAAATTTTATCTTGTATTTTCTTTTTGACTCAATACCTTTTATGCCCACTTCAGAACATATTTTTGTGAGGATTTTATTGACAAACGTTAGTGACAAGTGCAAAAAATGGTGGCCACTTTCACCAATTCCTCGCTTATTTTATCTCTAACACCAGGCAACTGCCCCCTCCTTCAATCACATATATCTCAACTTTTGTTCAAAATAGAAGGGCATGTTTTCACCAAACATGCTTTAAGAAATACCATTAACTCCATATGTCCCAAACTGATGAGCGCCCGGTTCCATTATGCCGTAACACATAAATCTCTGTATCACCAGTTAAAGAAAACAGACCATTTAAACCACGGTCCACACTTTTTTGGGGGGGGTGGGGGGGGGGGAGTGTTTTATGGCGCTCACAACTACATTAAGTCATATGAGCGTGCAGGACACATTAAACATTGTCATTTGGAAGGAAATTTTGAATTTTGTGGGGGTGGCAGTCACACACACTGAAGAAACTTTTTTGTTATAATAGCCTCCAAAAGGAATTCACATCATCATAAGCAAACAAACAATATTATAAGACTTCTTGTAAAGAGCAAGAAATAATTAAAGCTCAAAAATATGATACAAAAGGCTCGAAGAATAATACCATGTCTCCAGAAATGCAATGACAAGGAAATTAAGTATGAAACCTGGAAAGCCTTCTATATAACTTAGATGAAATTCCTTGTGTGATATGACTGAAGGCACAGGGAAACAAACATAAGGGAGCTCAAAAGTTGCAACAGATATTTGTGTTATAAAAATTACTTGGCACTGGAAGACCATCCTGGCTTTAAATTTCTAAGACTCACGATATACAATCAGGAAATAATTTTACTCTTAATTCATCCATCAACACAAACAAAATCAATTTCTAAAAAAACCCATCTTTTTTGAGTCACAAATCATACAAAGAGAAAAAGTGTGCCTTTGTGGCAGCACATAGAAAGAGGAATGTGGGAGGCTGCTTGCTTACCCTGTTCACACTATAAATTACATAGAATAAAGCCAACAATTCTAAATTTGGTATCAGTAAGACAAACATTACATTGACAATATAGTCATAATGATCTGTATTGAGATCACTACCTGGACCAAAAAAAATATGAAACACATTATCGCAATTGAATCACACATATTTCCACTGATATATGGGTCCTGGTTTTGCTGCTACGTACACGCATTTTTTAAAAATATTCAACGTGATAGCATACAAGTCTAGTGACTGGGACATGAGATTCACTATCAGTTCATTCCCATTTCTCATGGTAAGGCACTGTTCCCCATTTTCCAGAGCGATGACCCACACTGCAAATGGGTACTCGATAATTGACACAGGAGGAAATATGAGACAAACATAATTTGAGCGTCCAACATGTTTCAACACAAGTTCCCTCCAAAAGGAATGAGATCATATCTTCTCTGAATGCACAGACAGATCAAGCAGACATTTAATGAATAGGTGAATGAGCCCTTGATTACAAGTAGAAGGGAAAAGAGATTATAAGCTATCACTTTAATAGTAAATATTAAATGCCTCAATCAGATATGAACAACTTATACGGCAATGACTCTGGATAGATATTTTCATGGCAATGAAGGTGTCCCTCTATACCTTTCAGAATGACAGAGTAAAATCAACTCTAATGGAAGAGAGTAACTCAATCACAAAAAAGACATTAACACTGTTGTTATCCATCCAGTAGCTGATACAGAACTGAACAAACACTAATATAATGCCAACACCAGACCTGCCACTCTATAAAATCTAAAAATCAGAATCTCGAAAGGAAAAATTCGAGATCAGGGCGAAAAAATGTGATCAACGACAATTCATTAAGCTGACTTTAAAAATTTCCAGGGGGGTCCATAAATATAGGAAAGCAGAGTAAGTTTTAAGAAAAATCCGGAGCAACAGACAGAACAAAAAAAATCGAGACACATGTGATCAAAATTGGTATGCTTGAGATTTGGGACCAAAAAAAATCGGGATATCCTGATTAAATCGGGATGAGTGGCAGGTCTGCAACACCAACACAGCAGTAGATCACGGGCAAAGGGTGACGTCCCTCAAGGCTTTAGTGCTGGATGCAGATAGTCTTCTCCTCGGTAAAGAACTCTGTAGAATATTTGCCTCCCTCGCGCCCACTGCCAGACTCCTTCACGCCGCCAAAAGGCATATCCAGGCAACGCACTAGCCAGCAGTTGACCCACACAGTGCCAGCCTAAGACAAAAAAGTAATGTAATGAATTATAATTTAATAATAATAATAATAATAATAATAATAATAACAATAACAATAACAATAATAATAATAATAATATTAATATTAACAAAAATAGATCATTGGTCAACATCTGATGATGACAAATTCATCTGCAGAGAAGAACATTTCTTGAAAAGAAATTATAGAAGAAACAAGGAATTAGATGATTGGGCTTCTGCAATGGCCAATGAAACCAATTCTTGCAGAGAAGGGTTTGCCATATTTTGAGCATTTAAATACCTTAAAAACTCTGACGATTTCATTATATTTTTTGTACAGTGAGGCAATTATCAAAACAGTGCCAAGGATAATTTTTTTAACAAAACAACCACTCCATCTTCATTGATTTGGTATTTTAAAAATATATAATGAGAAAGATTACCAGAATTCCAAAAGATTACACATAATAATATGCAGGTTACAGCAAGATTCTAACCAGACAAGATATCTGTGTCTCTGGCACAGAACTGGCAAACAAGCATTTCTAATTTTTTTGACATTTTAAGTCTCGCCTTGTCCCAATGCACAAGAACAATATATAGTGTAGTCGAAGAACACAAAATGATACCTGGTATAGCTGTTAAATCAGGTGCTCATCAAAATAATGAAATCGAAGAAGCAGGCATTTTCCCACCCATTTGGCAACTTTTATCAAATTTTTGTTTTTTGGCTCAACACCTTTTGTGTCCATATATAAAAACATATTATCATGTGAATTTTACGGAAAACCGTTGATTAAAAGCTCTAAATAAGTAATTTTTCAGTTATAAAGTACTTTCAAGCTTTTTAAGTGACCAAACTTTGGCGGCCATTCTCTCGCTAATTTTACGACGGAAATCAGTCGACCCAACCTCGCTCAATCACGAGTATCTCAACTTTTATTCAAGATAACTGGGGGGGGGGGGGGGGTTCTCCCCAGTGAAACAAAGGCAAATACATAAGCTTTGAGATGATACAAATAACTCCACATGCCCAAAAATTGACGAGCGCCTGATTCCACCGTGTCGTGACACATTTGTAGACTACACATCCTCACTAAGCAGGACACTCTATGTGCTTTATAATCTATATTATTACCCCAGCAGACCCTCTGCGTGCGGTCGTGAAGACTCATACCTCCCTTCCGCGCACATCGCGACCACCAGTCGTGATCCGACATGAGTGTAGAAACTATACCGCTGACATGATAATAGCCATTTTTTAAACTTCTGGTGACTACAGTCCACCAGAGCAACGTTTATTAGTGCCGATGGCAGCGCATTTCGCAGTCGGGGATCGGTTGGAAGTTTTTTATCGGCAATTTTCTGGGATATTGTTTACAGTTTTCAAAATGTCGGATTCGTCACCTGATTTAGACACAGATTTACCCAATATTTTTCTGGAATCGGACCACAGTGATAAAGAGTTAGAAGGATTAAGTGCTCAAATAAAAGATTTAGATCTACGTGTGAATGATGGGGACATTGTGTCGTAGATCTAGATCTAGCGAGGTTAAGCCCAGAAGGGGATGTCGATATTCCTGCTGATCTCCAAGCAGGCTGGACAAAAAATTATGAGGACTTTGATACCAACAACAACAACATCAATAAAAAACACATCTCACCAGACATAAGGGTAGTTCATTATTTAAGACACGTTTTTCCTTCTTACTGTAATTAGAAATTATGATAAATAAAAAAGATATGAGCTTTTTTTATAGCCATGTTGAAAATTAGCATTTTTCTAAAATAAACCTAGTACTGAAGGGAAGTAATGGTAAAAATGGCTTAGCACTAAGAGGGTTAAAACACTCAGAAACATGCATATAGTGAAAGTAGTCAAACACTAACAAACTGACCAGATCTTTTAATTTGCTGTCTATATAGCCAGGTAGCCATTCCCACGCGAGTGAAATGAAGAAAAGTCGCATAAAATGCCTTTCTCAAGGACACGTCGGGTCCCTGATGGGGTTCAAACCCATAGCTTTTCAGTTGCGAGTCAGACCATTACAACAGAACATTTTGCCGTTATCTCATGGCGCATCCTAAAGCAAAGGGGCAAACCAGGAAACTAAACAAGAGAATTGATGAAACTCACATCAATTTTAGGAGACACACGGTGCACACGAGAAGCATTCTCAGTCCACAGGCAAGCAGCAAGACCATATTTGACAGAATTAGCTCGGGCGATAACCTGGGGATAGTGTGAAAACAGGTTTAGAAATAGACATCACATTATTACAATGAGTTTCCGATTCTACAAAAAAAAGGGATATGTAAAGGTCGATCAGAAAAGAAACCTTCGCTAGATGAAGAAAAAAAACAAAGTGCTAAACTCCCTTTCCCAGCCCAAAAAAAATACTTTCATAATTCCTCTCAACAGCAGAATTTATAATGTCTTGAAAATAAAGTGTTTGTTTGACTAACGGTTTTACAGCACTTGCAACACAAAAAGTCATATAAGTGCTGAAGATCGGAAGTGTTACTAGAGAGCAGCATACAATGAAAAGGAAAGATAAGGATAACAGATGTTTGACAGAAAAAGGAACACCCACCAATCATCCACAAAATTAAAGACTATAACCAGTAAGAGTATTCATTTGAATTTGTAGTTTTATAGTAATGCTTTCAATAATTAAAATGAGACCATAGGCAATCCCCAAGAGAAAGTCGTTAATCTAATGTTTCACAGAGACAAAGTGACATTCTCCGAAGTTTGAGGGTACCAAACAGACCCAATACACACCAGCACGAGTTGCACCCTGTTTATCAATCTAATAAATTAATCATAAATGACATTTATATAGCACTTAACCCCAATTAAAGTACACAGGCTCTGAGCGCTTTACAATACAAATCAACGGTAACATAAAACGTTGTGTTCTGACAAAAGGAAAATCTCTCCAAATATTCATCTTCTTAATTCAAAAACATAAATGACTTCAGCTGACATTGAATGAATCAAAGGATCTCTCTTATAGTACTTGGCAAATAACACCACAAAAAAAACTATGCCCTTATGCACAGGAGTGATATTTTCTTTAATTTAAAAGCATTAAATTTCCATCTTCAAGTTTCTTTCCCCTAACAAGTCCAAGCTCCACCCTCAAAATCAGCAATCCGTCTCTCAACTAGCAGGGAGTTCGTCTTATACAAAAATGAATAAATAAACATGCACTCAAAAAAAAATTATAAATAAAAATGGGGTAGAAGAACTTTTTTTACTAATAAAAAAAAAGACAGTGTCACAAGAAATTATGTGTCCAACAAATAGCATACCTCTTTCTCATCATCAAAGGGAACAATGCAAGTCACAGGTCCAAATATCTCCTCTTTCATGCAGGGAGCTGCATCATCCACATCAGTGATCACAGTAGGACGCACAAAATAGCCCTGGGGTTTACAAAGAAAAGAAACAAATTTAAATAAAACATCTGTCTCCTCTTTCCAAGTCCATTATTTAAAAATAATGATTTTTAATCATCTGCTTTTTTGTTTCGTTTTAACGAAACAATTTAAGCTTTGACTTCCAGTTTCAATAACAATTAAACTTAATCACTTGTCATTGTTTTGTTTTTTCAAGTTATCTTTGAATGTTCTTACTTTTATCAAAACTGAAGAGTAAAGAGGAGCACATCGACACAACAAAACAGAAGTTTTCAAAGTAATCAGCACACATTGTAAAACAATGAAAAGCAATCATTGTACAAAATATGGAGGTAAAAAAAACCCAGTAAATGAAAGGCACCGTCAGGCAAGCACATAGCAAACATTTACATAGCAAACACACACATAGTGAACAGTACTTTGCATTTAAAACACAAACATAGAAAAACTCATACATTACAAGAAGATTTCTGCATCCCATCGATTTCACTATGTGCCTGCCAGACTTTACAAATTACTTACATTTTGACAACGAGGAGGAAGTTCAAGAGGTGTGATTCCATGCCCACACTTGATTGTTGCCCCCGCTTTTCTAGCCCCTTCAATGTAACCAACAACTTTCTCCCTGTGCTGCTGACTGATGAGGGCACCACAAAACGTGTTGATGTCTTTGGGATCTCCCACGGTGAGAGCCCTGAAATAAAGAATGGGGTGTTTTAATGTAAAAAGATAGAACACTCTGTATATTAAAGTACCATCCACACTGATGTATATTATTGACACCTCGTGCCCCTTGTTTTCCAAGCTAAATAGAACCCGTGAGGTTGCAGTCCTAAAGGTAAAAACGACATTTGTAATCTTTTCAGATGTGCCTCCATTCCTGAAGTATAAGTTTGAAAATTAAAGAGACAAAAACATATGAAAAAAATCATCCCTCAAACCACAGCAAGACATTTATTCATAAATGCAACATACCGCAGCTAGCCACATATGATGGGAATAGGCTGTCCTATAGGAGTATTGTGATCACTTGAAGGGTAAACATAAATATCACATTTATTTAGCAAAGCCATTTCTCAAACTCATGACTAGTAAAGCCTGTACAACAGAAAATACCTAAAAATAAGAGTCATTCTTTCATTATAGGCTTATGGTTCTGACCCTGCAATATTATCTTTGATAACATTATAAAAATTTTACATACAGAAGATGAGCAGCAAAATACACCATAATATTTTAAGCAAACAAGGATATAGTTTTGAAAGATGGTAAGATTATGGCAAGAGGTCATTGACTTCCTAGAAACTACGAAAACAAATAAAAATAAGAATGAAACCATGAACTTGCAATAAAAAAGACTTACTTGGCTTTTTCAACAAAGGCCTCCACAAACTTGCTGTATATACTTCTCTGAACAAAGATGCGGCTGGTGCACAGACAGATCTCACCCTGGTTCATAAAACTTGACCTACAAAGTATCGCAGAATAAATAACAAATTGCTAAATTATTGTATATACATTCACTTCTCAAACTAAAACTGTAATTGTAACAGGCCACAATATTACAGTAAGTGACAGCCCCATCATTGTACTATAAAATTTACTTTTTAAATTCAGCAGGTCATCACCTTCAACCGTCTGTAGCAGCCAACCAAGACAGTGTGTATGATTGGGATACATTCTCCTTTGGAAAGATGGAGATATGTGATAATATTACTCCCCAACAAGAGAATTGAAATCACACTTTAGTGCGCAATGCAAAGAGCCAAAATATTACATAAAAGACAGTTATCCCACCAAAATTACAGTAACAAAGTTATATCAATGTGAAACACAAGGAAGGAGGTCATCCTTATAATATAATACTCCTCTCCCACTAAGCATTGATTCTATAAACATATATAACAAAATTGTACCAAGCTCCATTTTTCCAGGGCTGTAAGTTATCAGCGTGGAAACCAGTTCTATTTAAAAATAACCGCTGCAATCCATGAAGAAAAACCACTACCAGCCTACGGAACTGTCACGCCCCCCCACCGCTGATTTATTCAATATGCTTTATCTCTAAAGACCAATACAATAATATCCAAAGCATTATAAAAATGTTCACAAACTGATATAAAAATGTTTACCACAAAGACTGCTGTTGTTAATAAAAATGTGCTTATACTATAAAAAAAAAACAATGGGAGAAGAGGACCACATCACAATAGAGCACCCACCAACAGCATTGAAAAAAAGGAGAAAATATCAAATTAACAGAGAGATATGGGGGAACAAAAGTAAAACCAACCATCTACTTGTTAATTGACTGACAGTAAATGTTTTATGTCCTGAGGAGCACAACTTAGACCATTTAGGAGGCCCGCTGCTTCAACCTTGTCTACTCTTTACAAAAGATCCCCTCATAGGAATAAAACTCAAGACACTTACAAGAAAGACTTAGAACCCAACATTTATGCCTCAGACACCACTGAAATCATCCACCAAAGTGCCACTATCAAAGCTTTGAAATACAAACCTTATAGTGGTCTCCACACATTTGTCAAAGTTGCAGTCATCAAATATTATGGCAGGATTTTTCCCTCCAAGCTGAAAAATAGTAAAAACAAAACAAAAAAGTTATCCAACACCAATTTTGGTAAAACTTGACACTGGAATAAACATTCAGGGTAGGGAGCAGATAAAGAAAGAACAAGGAAATTAAGAAAATCAGTCAAAGCACTCCCCTCCCTTAAAAAAAATATTTCAAGAACGTCTCACTAGGGATTCGAGCTATGGTAATATGAACTACAGTTCAGCATGAAACTAAAAGAGCAAATGTCATGCCTACCCCCTAGGAATATTAATAATAGAAGAACAAAAATTAACATAAAGAATAAGAAAAAAGCTTACCTCAAGAGAGAACTTTTTGCAGAGGTGGGCAGCGCTACGGCGAATGTGCTCAGCTGTGGCCGTGCCTCCGGTGAAAGAGACCAGGGGGATACCTGGATGTTCCACAATAGCTTGACCGGCGGTCTTCCCATAGCCAAAGACCAGGTTGATGACACCCTTGGGCAGACCTTAACAAAAAGACATAGGAGGCAGTCAGTCAGTCAGTCTTACAACATTGTCAACAAACTGAATCTTTAAGATGGTATTAAAGGATCCGAGTTATTATTTCTTCAATTTTGAATTTTCATCATTCTAGGACAAAAAATAGTAAATTTTGTAATGCAGAACTAAAGGCATTCCATCTTCCTGATATACAATAACATCAAAGAAAATTATATACTTTGGCCACATAAAGAGACACAGTAGTTAGGACAGGGACTTTAAAATGAAAAGTACCAGAAAAATGAGGTAGAGCATACCCAAAGAGACAAGAGTTAGGGCATCTTTGAACAACTGGAAACAAGTATCGCAGAGGCACGGCTCTAAAAATACTGCATTAAGAGGGGCTGTCTGGAAGGCTATGCTTTGAAAGTGAATTACTAACCAGAGGAAAAAAGAATCAGCTCAAAATATTAAAATCTAGATTATCTAAGATACCTATCCACCTTGAGGCAGAATGACTTACTTTATTTGAGATTAAGGATCAAACTCAAAAACATTTGTGAGGCATCGTGGTGTAATCAGTCACTCATCAAAATAATAAAATCGAAGAAACAGGCATTTTTCCTCCATTTTGGCAATTTTTATCATTTTTTTTTTTTTGGCTAAACATCTTTTGTGTCCATAAAAAATAAACTTCCATGTGAATTTTATTGAAAAATGTTGGAGTAAAAGCATAAAATATGTGTTTTTTCAGTTTTCAAGAAGCTATTGAAGTTACCAAACTTTGGTGGCGATTTACTCATTAATTTTACCCCTGAAAGCAGGCAACTTCACCTGCTTCAATCCCAAATATCTCGACTCCTACTCAAGATAGAGGCGCACTTTTTTCATTGAAAGCAAAGCAAATGAAACAAATGAATGAGCTTTCAGATGATAGCAATAACTCCACATGCCCAAAAATTGACCAGCGCCTGATTCCACTGCGTCGTGACACATTTTATTTGTTTGGTATAAGGTACGAAAAGTTGTAGATAATACAAACATCACTACAGGAGTAACTTCAGCTCTCACCTGCGTCCTGAAACACCTGACACAGCTTCTGGCAGGAGACAGAAGTCATCTCACTGGGCTTTGCTACAACCGTGTTGCCACACACTATGGCCGGGGCTAGCTTGAAGCTGAGCAAATAGAGAGGCAAATTCCACGGGCTGATGAGTCCAGCCACTCCCACAGGACACTTCACGGTGTAGTTGGTGGCATTGAAGCCAGCCTGGATCTTCGAGCTGAAATAAAATGATGAACTCTTCTTTTAAGACCATACCACAGTGGCGACTGGTGATGGGATGTTTGTAAAATTGTCAGCATTGATGTAATATTGCGTATTCTGTATTCTTTGTAGGTATATTTTACTTGTTTTAATATGTATTCATGTATGTATGTTGCCTACTATTAACCAAATTTACCCTCAGGGATCAGTAGTGTAATTATTTTTTTATTTGTTTAACTTATATAATAGTTTGGTGGAGAAATGAAAAGATGAAATGGTATCAATTCAACGCCTTTATCAACACTATTAGAATAATTAAGAGGCAGGATCTCCGAGGTTAACGTCCATCTCTGAAGGTAGTGAAAGGACCAAGCCAAATGGGAATACCTTTCCCAAGGACACCTCAGACCTAGCTGAGGCTCGAACCCCCGAAATCATAATTCTAACAATTACGGGTCCCGTAGCCTAAAACCATTAGGCTACCAACGCCTTGTTTTGTTGTGTCATTTTCACAGAAGTTCAGCACCATAGTTAATCATGATTTCAATAAAGTAAAGGCTTCTGTTACAAGATATCATGTATCTCAGCATATTCTAAGAATAGAATTCATGCCATACATTTCCTTTCTAAATTTTTTTTTAACCCCTCTTTTCAAGTTATCTAGTCCTATTGTGTCATCTGCTTTCACCTCCACATTCTCATCTTTCCCCCCCCCCCCCCCCCCCCCCCCCCCCATGCCACAGTTAGATCTACAATGCAGGTTGAGGAAACAGCAGTCGACTTCACTTTTGAGATCTAGCAGGGGAATGCAAAGAAACACTAAAACCAATGTGAAGGCTGTTCCAGTGCTACCACACATGTATCTCTTTCACATTTAAAATTCTAAATATAAATGTCAAACACACAGCTTAGATCATTTAGTTCGCATACTACTTCGACCATGCCTGCATGGGCCAACCCAGGCTGAGTCGAACACAAATTCCAACAGAGAGACGGAGATATTCGAAAAAAAAGTCCCCAATCAGAACTGACCTCAATTCATCTGCCTGCAATGGTAAACAGCCTAACCACTGCACCAGTCACTAGTTATCCATATTGTAAGTTTAAATTCTTGTTTCCCATAACAAAATGTTCACAGATAGAAGAGAAGCATAATGACCACTATGTAGTGATGGGAAAGCAGCCTTCAGAGGCATCTATGATTTTAAAAAAAGAAGAAAATTATCTACACTTCACACAAGACAAGTGTGAAGGCCATTTACTATACTTCCGTAAGCTGACAAAATGCTTTTTTTCATTTTGGCACCAAAATGTTTTATTTGCTAAATCAAAAGCCTGATCATTTACCCTACTTATGTGAAAACATCAAAGTGAAACTGGGACTAGTTTTTTAATAAATTCAAATTCAAAATTCAATTTTTAAATGGTTACGCTAACAAAAAAACTCTTTTTCTCGAAACTGCTGTGAAGATAAAAAGGCGTTTCGTCAGCTTACAGCAGTAAAGACAGCACTTTGGACAAAATAGTTCTGAAGCGACAACATATGGGCCTACTTCATAACCAACCCACCATGGCATTCAATGAAAGCTGTTATAAAGGCTTTTCACAACATGTCGCAATACATGGGATAGGAATACAAGGGATAGGGGAGTGGGGGCTGGGTTTAAAAAAAGGTACAAGACATTTAATGCAACCCCCATGCATTACACAGCTGTGAAAATGGAATTAGAGATATCAGCTTAACATAAGGGTTATACTCGCAAAGCTGTGGCATCTCCATTATACATATATACAGTTCACCTTTATCTATAACAAAACTAGACACCGCACAATCCAAATGTCAAAAATGAGCATGGCATTAAAATTACTTGTTCAAAGAAAAAGAAAAAAACACCCTTCAGGAATGGCTAAAATGTCCAATAAAATTAACACCTACATTGTTATCTAAACATGGGTGAACTGATTTTTAAAAACAGCATGTTCAAGAATAAACTTAAATCACTTCTCACCTATTGACATCATGCAGAGCATATGTGGCAAAATATCTGAAATTGTGCACAGTGCGGGAAATGTCGACTCTCTTGGCCAGCCACAGTGGTTTCCCTTGGTCCTTGGACTCCACTTCTGCTATCTCATCCAGTCTCGATTCAATCAGATCCGCAATTTTCTGCATTACCTCAGATCTTTTTTCCACCGGAAGTTCGGACCACCTGAAACACAATATTTCCTCCATAGAATCTAAGTTCACAAAAAGAATGAAAATAGAGCAATTTTAACCATACGAACTCAGAAACTGACATGGAAAAGATGAAGGGGAGAACATGTGGGACCTTGTTGAAGGGAAGAAAGCATGCGGTCTGTGGTTGCCATACACACCTGTACAATACTGTTAAGCCCTAAGGCTTTATCTTGAAAAAAGATATGCAATTTTTAAGGTGTCCCGCAAGCTCATTATGACCTTACTCAGTTGCAAGCACTGTAAAACGCTTACCAAAAAAATATTTTTAAAAAGATTATAAGTACACCAAAATTTTAACTGAAATTTTCACTGTCTTTGGTTGTAGAAAAAGATCTATCCAAACTATTTAGTGTGTGACAAGATTTCAGCTTTAAACCCATATCTCTACCCTATCAAAGTCATTTATCTTGAAAAAAGAAAAAAACATTAAGAGTGCCTGGAAGGAGTGTAGTACATTACTGGAAGGAATGTTTTACATTACTACAGCGCTGGAGTGGGGAAGATCATCAGCCAGACTTTCGTTTAGTTCTGAGGATGTCATCTTTGTTATTATGAGGGCTAGATGATCTGCTAATAAGAAAGACATAGCCTTTTTTCTCATCATAACTTTGCTTCAATGAAAAAGAAAATACAAAATGAAATGTATGTAGGCTACTAACTTCCTATTACTTTAGACATGTTTTGGAGGTAATGTCTAGTTTTTATTGAGATAAAGCAGAAAACTGAGGGGAGGGG